ACTGCTCTGCTAAAATGCCCACAAAATATTGTACATGTACAAAGCAGATTATAAAACATATAATCTTTTTTTCAAAAACTGTAAGAAAAAAAATGAAATATTATAAGAATATATATCAAAATGTTAACAATGGTGATCTAACTGGTAGGATTATGTGTTTGACTAGCAAGTCAAAAAGAACTTTGCCTAACCTCTTTATTTATTCTTTTTAATTTTCTTCCAGAATCCCCATTTTATGACTGGTAAAATAATGAAATGACAAAATAGCTTTAAAAAATCAATCCCTTAAAAATACGAAAGAGTTGGTGATCAAAATCAATCAGGACAGTTTTTTTCCCCTAAAGTGTTTCCTTTCAATATTTTCAAGTTCTTTACATTGTTCTTCAGAAGATTGAGCTGCAAAGTTTTCCCAGTTTTATCTCCTGTTTTCAGTTTTTTACAGAATGACATATATTCTTGGATTTGAAGGAAAGCTAATATCAAAAGTTTAGTTTCTAGAATTTCAGCTCAGGTCCTGCAACAGTAAAGAGAGAAAGAGTAGGTCGGTGCATAAAAAGCCATTAGCAGAGCACAGAATAGTTCTTACTGTAACATACAAAGTGTACAAGATGAATCTTTGATGGATGAGGCAATATCTTCTACCAATGCCTATTACAAAGGTGTTCAAAGATCCAAAAGTAGCCGATATGTTTAAAGATCTGACAAAAGTAATTTCCAGATAAGGCAAGAAAATGTCTTCAAAGACCACAATGGAGCTCTACATACTTTAGACCCTCAATAAATATTCCTTGATTCGAAAATAAATGGCAGGCAAATGCTCTTCATTTTCCTTCCAGTCGAAATAGGCCTAAGTATGCCCCCCAAAAAACCACAAATCTTGTTTATAGGAAATAGGTGGTGTTCCAAAAATCCATTTGTACACAGATGTATGGAATTCAAAACACATATTCTCATCAAAACAATGTTATGATGGTGAGTAACTCCCAGCCTGGCCCATAAAGCCTATCTAGTCATTAATGAGAACTAACCCACACCTGTGTTTTAGGGGCATGGCACTAGTGGTCTAAGTGAAGAAACCCGTAATACTAGGGGAGTAAGAGAGGCTCTCCTTTACTTGGAACCAAAGGCTCTCAGTTCAGTCCCTCTCCACAGAGGTTTTCCAGCTAAGAGAACTCTCCACGTCATATTTTCTTCCCAGGGGCAATCCAGGTCCAAATAACCAGTCAGTAGAGGAGGGAAGGTTTAAAGACCCTGCCTCCGTGCCTCCAGGTTAGATAACTCTGCAGGGCCGTCTCAGCTCCAGAACTCCACTATAACTGTATCACAGTTCAACTCCTCCCCCTGCCCAAAACTGCTTCCCTTACTCTTTCACAAGTAATAATGCCAAGAGCAGTCCCAATAAACCTCCTGCACATGAATCTCCATCTCAGAGACTATTTCCCAGACCTAGCACAAACAGCTAACACTTAGTATGCTCATTTTATAACGCAGATACTGTTTATATACATACATACATGTATGTATATTTAATATGTATGCAATATATATTACATATAAAATAGGTAGAGATAGATATCTTACTATTTATGTATGGATAGGTACAATAATTCCAGTTTAAATATGCAGAAACTGAGGCTCAGAGAAGTCAAATGACTTGTTCTAGACCATATGGTAAGCAATTTGAGGAGCCAGAATGTGAATCTAGGTCTACCCAATGCAAAGCTAACACTATGTAAACTAGCTTTATCTCCTAGAAAGAATTGTTGAATGAGTTAAGGCAGACTCGGCAGCACAGGATTATGGTGGCAATCAGGAATGAGTGGCGTGGTGACCCATGGTCATCCAGAAAACAAGAGATTTATAAAAGGACTTGGGATTCAGGCCCATTGAAAACTGGATACTATGATCAAGGGTTCATATATTTTTAGACCTGAAGCAAAAAAAAAAAGTTCTAATGGAACCAGAATTCCAGAATGCAACTACATAGTTATAATCAACTGCATGATTACTAGATCCTAAAAATAATGATTGGCAAATCTTATCCACCTACAATCAAAATGCTACAATATGTGCAGACAGATGTTTACTATGTAGGAGGTAGTGCTTCCATATATTTTACTCCAATCCCTGCAAAAAGCTTCATAAACAACATAAACAGTATCTAAAAACATACTAATAGCCCTGGCCACCATGGATCAGTTGGTTGGAGCATCGTCCTGTACACCAAAGGGTCATGGGTTAGATGCGCAGTAAGGGCACATACCCAGGTTGCGGGTTCAATCCTCTGTCAGGATGTGTATGGGAGACAACAGATCCATGTTTCTCACATTGATGTTTCTTTCTTTCCTCCTTTCTCTCTCTCTCCCTCTCTCTCTAAAATCAATGAATCAATGAAAACACATCCTTAGGTGCCCTGGCTGGTTTAACTCAGCAGTTAGAGGGTCAGCCTATGGACAAAAGAGTCTCGGGTTTGATTCCAGTCAAGGGCAAATACCTTGGTTAGGTCCCCCAGCCCTGGTCAGGGTCGTTTGGGAGGCAACCAATCAATGTGTCTCTCTCACAACGATGTTTCTCTTTCTCTGTCTCTCCCCCAGCCCACTCTATCTCAAGATAGATGGAAAAATATCCTTGGGTGAGGATACACACACACACACACACACACACACACACACACACACATATATATATATATCCATCCTCAGGTAAGGATTTAAATAAATAAATAAAAACAAAAATGTGCTAATAAATTTCTTATTCAGGTGCGAAGTCCTTACCATTAATATTCAACTTACCCAAGATGCACAACTGCAACCAGTTCAATTTCTTTAACTACAACCAGAGCAAGCTTCCCCAAGCTAGTAATCTGCTTTATAAGTAGTTATTTATACCTACTAACAAACAGTGGACAACTAAGAACTGATATTACCCTGCCCTGGTGCCCACCTGCCCTGGTGTCCACCCTACGCTGGTGGCCACAGTGCCCAAGAACTTACAAGACATGAAATCATTCTATAAACTCCAAACAACTACAAATAAATACTATTAACTTTAAGTGAACTCATTAAATTTACATGCTTGCAACATAGAGCACAACTGACTCAAACAGTGAGAACAAGCTTTCTAAAGTTTAACAGAATGTAGATTTACTACATCCTTGGAAGAATTGTTTGATTTTTAATATTCATAATCACAAAAATCTAATATCACCATTAAGTAAAAAACTGAAATATACTTAGAAATTCTATAATAGCCCCCTTAATGTCATTTTACAATTCAAAACAATTGGGCCTTCTCAGTTGTTTCTGAGAGTTGGCACATACCTGTTGCCCCTTCCTTTAAAAATTCACCAATGTCCTGGCCAGTTTGGCTCAGCGGTCAGAGTGTCGGCCCGCAGACCAAATGGTAATGAGTTTGATTTCCAGTCAAGGGCAGGTTCGATCCCTGGCTCTGGTTGGGGATGTAAGAGAGGCAACCAATCGATGTGTCTCTCACACATCAATGTTTCTCTCTCTCTCTCTTCCTTCCACTCCCTTTCACTCTGTCTAAAAATCAATGGAAAAATATCCTCGGGTAAGGATTAACAACAACAACAATAAAAAGTCACCAATGCCACTTATGATGCACAGCTTTAAATGGTAAAACCAAAAGCATCTGCAATTTTCTCATTTATCCATTTTGCACACAGGAGACCTTAGCATCCAATTCATTTATCATCAACTGCAGTAAGAGTTCTTCGAATTAAGGTGGACCATTCACTGAACTTTCACACCATGTCAGTACCAAGAATTTGGCATCATAAACTTCAGTTCACTACTTTAATACAAGTTAAGTCTGTAGCTTTTCTTACCTTGACTATGGCAATGTTTGGCCCATTTCTTCCCTTTTCCCCTACTCAATTACTAAAACAAGCTCAAACCAGAAATACATAACTTCACATAGATACATACAGAACTGCTAAATATACCTGAGTCTGCCATTTCAGAGGAGAGTAATAATGGGAACACCATAACCATTTTAATGCTTACAAATAAGAAGATACCACCAGCCTAAGAAAAACATTTCCTCACACCACCTTAAAGTGGTCTAATCTTTTGGACAAACAAAGAAGAAAAGGCAATGGCCAATTGAAGCTTCCATATAGACAAATATAGCAGGGTAAGCCACAACCACCCCCAGATCAGGAATGCAAGTTCCCTGAGGACCAGGACGCCCTTTCTCTTGATTAGCACAGTATCCTTTAATACTTAACATACTCGTAACACTGCAAATGCTTAATATTTTTTGAATGAATGAATGATTGCTATCATTGTTCATCACTTACTTTTCTTGAGGAACTTTACTAAAGCTCTTACAAATGTAACAAGCCTTTAAAACCACATGAACTAGGGACTGGGTAGGGAAAGAGCCTCTCAATAAACCTATGAGGAGGGCAATAATCAGAATATTTCTTTTTTTCAATTTTATAGGCAAGAAAATTGAGGCTCAGAAAGACTGACCTTCCCAAGATGACAAAGTTCTAAATGGCTGAGCTAGGAGTCTGTCTTCCTTCCTCTCTGTCACATCAAAACCAAAATGATGTTTAGAGTTAGGCAAACAAAAGGACATGGAGAAGACAGTCTGGCCAAACGCTGTAATATCAAACATTCACATATGTGGTAAATTTGGGAAACTTCGAATTTCCATACTGCAGGCACACAGCCAATGAGGACTACCGTTCTGTTTTTAACAGGTACCACTGTCTACGGGGTTCTTCTAAGAGCAGGTGTCCTGTGTTAACAAGTGACTGAGCTACATAAAGAATGGATTCAAAAGCTCAAAGCTACAAGTTAAAAAGTCAGAAATAAAGATCTTAATCTCCTTCCATTAAAAGCTACCTATATTCCCTTCCCTGAAAAACTGGCTGAACAGAGGAATTCGAAGGAACTGTCCAGGTAAGTCAAGTGCTTGCACCCTGCAACAAGAACCGCGTCTCTGTAGTGACATCAGCAATCCTGTCTCACCTTCACTATTCCGTGTGCTCCTCAAAGGGTGCGTTCAAGCACTACCTAAGTTTATTAGGCTTCCCTCTAAAAATGTAAAGCAGAATTAAACAGAGGATGATTTTTTTTTAACTCTGTGCTGAGAACGGAAGTCAAGTTCAGATTCTCTTCCTTCCTCAAGCGAGGAACAGAATTAAGAGCACCCCCACCACACACACACACACACACACACACACACACACACACCCTACAGGAAAAATGTCTCTGGGGCCTCTCACCTGTGGCAATCGACAATCGACACAACCAGCCCAGATTTGCTGGGATTTAAGGCTTTTCATTTGGGGGGAGAGGGGGCACAGGGAAGAACAAACTGGAGCCTAAGTTTTCAATCGGATCATTCTTCTCAACTTGGGCAGCTCTCTCCCTCCTTGCCCCCGCCTCCCCTCCCACGGGCCCCGCGCACGCACTTGGCTCCGCCGGCGCGGGCACCGCGGCAGGGCCGAGGGCAGCGCCGCTGCAGGCTGGCACCCGGGCGCCCCTCGTAGTCTGCGCGCAGGCTGCCCAGGGCGCGCGAGCGGAGCGCGGACGCCGGGCCGGGGCCGCAGATCCCTGGTCGCCGGCAGGGCCCGCGTGGGGAGCGCGAGGGGCAGCCGCGGCGGGGCGGAGGGGCGGGGTGAGCACTTCCTGACTCTCGCATTGTCCACGCATCGCCCGCACCGCCCAGGGCCCTGCCACCGCGCTGTCGCCGTCGGGGAGGAAGTTGGCGCTCGCCCGTCACCCGGTCTTACCGTTCTTAGAGTCGCCCGCGGCTGCGGCTCCCACGGCGGCTGTGGCGTTGGCGGCGCCAGTCCCTGCGCCTCCGGTGCCCGCCGCAGCCCCGGTGCCCGGCGAGCCCGCCGCCGCCGCTCCGCAGCCCGCCGCCGCCGCCAGGGCCCCCCCGGCCGCCGCGCCCGCCGCGCCCGCCGCTGCCAGGGCCCCGGCTCCATTTTCCTGCTCGTCTCCGCTGCTGTTGGCGCGTTTGTTTTTGCGGCCGCCTTTACTGTTCTTGGGGTTGGGCATCTCGGGAGTGTCCAGGTGCCGGCGTCAGCGAAGGCGGCTCCCGCGGGCGGCCGGCCGGCCCCTGAGCGCGCCGGCTCCGGGACGAGAGAATGGAGGGCGCGGGCCGGTGGCTCCTTCGGCGCCCGTCTAGCCGCGCGGCCGGCGCCGCGCCATCCCGGCCGCTCCCTGCCCGGCTTCCTGGAGCCGCGCGGCCACCCGAGGCTCGCAGCCGCGCGGCGCCGCAGGTTCGGGGCGCGAGCGAGACGCTCGGAGCAGGAGGGAAAAGGCGGGTCTCCGGCTTGTTTTGATTCGGCTTCACTGACACGCTCTGGCCCCGCCCTCGCCCGTGACGACACTGGGGATTCGGCCTGGCCGCGCCCACCAGGTGACCTCACGGCGGACTGGCCCGCCCGCGTGACATCACGCCCCGCTCGGAGTCGGCCACCTTCAAGTGACGTAATCCCGGGCCTCTGGAGCTCGGGAGTCCGGGACCCGCCCTTCCTGAAATGGCCCAGAATGCCAGTCCGATGGCGGCTGAAGTTACTCGGTGGCCTCCTGACCTTCGTGTAATTCAGATTTAGCACACTGTGGTCTGGAAAAATAGGCCGGTGAGTAGAACAGGAATGGAAAACAAAGGATTTCGGGTTTCGGGCGAATAATCCATTAAAAAGCATTGCCGTTCAGAAACAGCCATAGATTCAATACTTGCAGAAACACGTTTGAGTTTCTAGACAATGGGAATGAACTGCAGGGTCCCTGCATGGGAAGCCATCACAGTCCTGGTGAAAGAATTCATGCAAACAGGACTCACCACCCAAGGATGTAACTAAATGTTGCCGGTGATCTAGAAGCAGGCCCTGCCTAGAGGGGAACCCAGCTATCCCTGTGGATAGGACTGAGTTGTCCTGAAAGATAGGTGGCCACATTGTGAGCAGGTGGAGATTAGAAGTGATGAGGCCATGACCTGAGGCAGGGGACCCCTGGGAAGATTTGCACATGGTCTTTTTCTGCAGCTCTTTGCTACCTGTTTGCTGCTTCCCTTCCCGTAGGTCTCAGTTCCAACCCATCACTTCCTTCAGGGTGATATAACTGAGGCTCCTTCTGAGAAGAGCTGTCAAAATTATCACCTTTATTTCCCTCATCCATCTCTAATTATTTTGTCATTTTATATGTGTACTTATTTTCTGTCTCTTTCTTGCTCAAATGAAAGCTCCATAGGGTAGGAGATTTTTCTTGTCTTGGGCACCTCAGGGAACAGCTAGCATATATATGTTGAATGCATAAAATGTTCTTTTCCCATGAACTATGGAGGAAAAACTATGTTAGCTGACAGTTTACAGTTTTCCCTTCCTACAGTGTGATCTTCTTTAATCCAGCACTTCGGTAAAGGCTCTGTGGCTGTTTCCAAGCATACAGAGGCAGGCAGGGAAGTACAAGAAGAGTACACGTGCTCACCTAAGCAGGGATTCTAAAAGGGAACTCTAGGCATTCATTGCAGAATCCATAGCAGAGCCTGGAGCTGCGGAGAAGAATGCTGGATACTCGGGAGCAATTGCTGCTTGTGTATTTTATGCCTATATTTTCATGTCTGTTTTTCCCCTACCTGACATCCTCTAAGCACTAGGAGAGCCAGGACTGGTCTTCTTTCTAACTGGGGAGTCTACAGTAAATGGCCCACAGTAAATGTTCGGTTAAATTTCATTGAATGGAGGATATGTAAAGCATTCTTCTGGCTACATTTTTCTGAACCTTAAAGTCTCAGCCAAATCACTGATTCTCTAGGAAGTCTTCTCTGAAAACCCAAAGCTAGATTTGTTCCCATGTGCACCCTGTACGTTCCCCACCAGCTTGTATACACGATATTGAAATTGCCTATTTACTAGTTTCTTGTCTCGACTCCCACTAGGCTATAAGTTCTGTGATGGCAAAACTGTCTGTCTTAGTTCCATTGTATCCTTGGTACCTAGCACAGTGCATGGTACACAGTAGATATTTAATAAATGCATGACACATTCAGGAATAAATAAATGCACAGTGCTTTGAAGGTAGATGCAGCTTGATTTGGTGGTCACTTGAATATGAGAGATGAAGAAGAGAGTGAAATCAAGAACTTCTGAAAACTGGAGGAAATGATGATGATTGTTAATTTAATGGAGACTCCAGGGGGAGGACAGTAGGAGCTGTGGATAAAGATAATGAGGTAAAGTGGCCCATTCAGACTTAGCTTAATTTCATTACTGATATCCCTCACTAGAGGTAGCTGAGAGATCGCAAAATCTGTTGATACCTTTGGCTTTGGCCTTCTTTCTTCTTTTGTTTTATTTGTGTCTTTTTAAGTGGTGAGGATGAAGAAGCTTAGGTTAAGAAAATTGAGATAATTATTGTCTTGAATAAGCACATTGCTGCCATGCCATATTGGATCAGAGTAATTGTGCATGTACCCTGCAGACAGACTTTCACACCAGCTGCCTCCTACCTCTACATAACTGAGAGTTAAGAATTGGAAACTTTCCCACAAAAATATCATAATTGGCTCAAAGCTCACAGACAGCCAGTTGCTGTTCTTGTTCATTGTGTGAACCACCCCCTTCTCATTCAAACAGAAACCAAATGAAAAGGAGAAAGTGAAGCTGGGTCACTTGTCCATGCTCAACCTTGCTAATCTATTTTTAGCCTTAGTCAAAAGTTCTGATGTATTGTTACCAAAAATGTACTAAAGTCAAGATGTTAAAAATAAAATTTAGATGGGGTTAAAGGATTACATTTCCTACTTCCATACAACATGTGGAATTTCATAGAAATCCTGCTGTTTAGCCCAATTATCTTTTCCTACCATATCTGAAGGGGGGAGGGTGGGGAGAGAGAAAGAGAGCCAGCCAGCCTACCTAAAAAGAAAAGATGGCAAATTGTGACAATGCCCTCCCCTCAGATACTTCCAGAAAGAAAAATATGATGAGCTGGACCCAAGGAAGCCACTATACTCTGTGTATCCACACTTGGCTTCTTTTTTGTAATTTCCCTAATCAGCTCATATGGTCCAAAATGAACTTCGAAAAGATTGTACCTGTACCCAAGGTTTCCTTCCCCCAAACTTCATCACCCACTCCATCACCCAGGTCTTTGCAAAATTCAACAAAACATAGCAACAAATAAAGGTCATCAAAGGTAAATAATTTATACCCTTGAGGGAAGGGACAAGCTAATTTTCAGAGATAGGCTGGGATAAGTGGTCATGGTTTCAGTATTCTTATTCTGTTCATTTTTTGTCTGACACTTGTGCCTGTCTTCTGAATTCTTGGGGGTCAACAAAGTCATTTGGGCCAAATTAGCATGGTCTGCTAAAGTCACTTCATGTAAATATACCTTGAGCAATGTATGTTATCTCTATGTACCAGTTTCTTCTTCTGGAATAGTCTCTCCTATGCCCACAGGTTTACTTTGAAAAATAATGATAATTGTGATTATAAATAACTTTGACACAAATGGAATACTAATGCAAATAATAATATGGATTATTAAATGCCACAGATCTGCTCTGTCATTGGACTATTCCCACTTATTAATATTAGTATTTTTTCCCAAATATTTACCCTCAGAATCTTTTTTTAGGTCCTTAGTTTGACTTTTATGTTATTTCCATAACCTACAAAAGTAGTCATTTAAAAAATCAGAATTCTGTTCTTAGTGACCCCTGAACTTGCTGCCTACTCTAACCTCAGCGGCTTCTCTGCTCATACTGTTGTCCCACTCAGCATCGGCACTGTTCTGGACCCCAATAACCTAAACAGGATGTTCCTTTCAAGAGATAGATCAAGTAGCCCGGCCGGTGTGGCTCAGTGGTTGAGCATTGACCCATGCACCAAGCAGTCGACCGTTTGATTCCTGGTCAGGACACATGCCCACGTTGTGGGCCTGATCTCCACTGGGGGGCATGCAGGAGGCGGCCAATTGAACTTCTCTCTCATAGATGTTTCTATCTCTCTCTCCCTTTCCCTTCCTCTTTCTCTCATATCAATAAAGAAAAAGAAAATTTTTTTAAAGAGATAGATCAAGTATAATCTCTCCCAAGACGGACTTCCCTGCATTCATTCCACTCAATACTCTTTTACTTCACACCTTCACATGCTCACCAATGTTTTCCTGGCTACACCAATGTTATCCAAACTGTGGGTCATA